GGCCAAGGGCAGGTTCCAAAACTATATCCCCACACTTCCCATGGGGTGTGGACTCAGTGGTCCTTTGAGTTGGTCCCATTTCACACATTGCCTGCTCAGTTGAGTTTCTCTGTCACCCTCTGCCATTCAAATATTCCTCTTGTGAGCACTAATGGACAGTCGACTGGCCCTGAATTTGTGGGTTCCTGGTCCCAAGAGGGAGCATGTGGGACAGGATTCCTGACCTTTCTGAACTATCTCAGGTAGTCCAGAGGTAGTTCACGTGAGTCCCAGGGGAAGGCACACAGCCTAAGGCTCTGAGGTTTGACAGTGATGTAAAGGAGACTGAGGTCCCAGCACATCAAGCTGATATCTTTGGTGATAAAGGCAGACTGGGGGAAGAAATGCAAGCACCGAAGAGCCAGCATTTGACCCCCAGGTGTCTTCCCTGGGCCTAGCGGAGCCTGCCTTTGCTGCCTGGCTTACTCTGCCTCTCAGAGGTGACAGGTTTTTTTGTTTTTGGTTTTTTTTGGCATTTATTATCACAATTATCCTTTTTTATTTTATGTGTATGGTGTTTTGTCTGTGCACCATGCGTGTGCAGTAAGTACCTCCAGAGACCAGAACAGAGCACTGGATCCCATGGAACTGGAGTTGGAGGGAGTTGTGAAGCTGCCATGTGGGTGCTGGGAAGTGAACCTTGGTGCTGGGGATGCGTTTCTGTATGCTGTGAATGTGTTGCTCTGATTGACTGATAAATAGACACTGATTGGCCAGTAGCCAGGCAGGAAGTATAGTATAGGTGTGATAAGCAGAGAGGAGAATTCTGGGAAGTGGAAGGCTGAGTCAGGAGACGCTGCCAGCCTCTCCACTGCCATGAGAAGATATAAAGTACCGGTAAGCCACAAGCTATGTGGCAACTTATAGATTAATAGAAATGGGTTAATTTAACATATAAGAACTGGATAGCAAGGAGCCTGCCATGGCCAAATAGTGTATAAGTAATATAAGTCTCTGTGTGTACATTCGGGTCTGAGCAGCTGCAGGAGCCGGGTAGAACTTCAGCTGAGTTAAGCCAATATGTATATTTTAAAGGTACCTTGGCTGGGTGGTGGTGGCACATGCCTTTAATCCCAGAACTCTGAGGCAGAGCCAGGCGGATCTCTGTGAGTTCGAGGCCAGCCTGGTCTACAGAGTGAGTTCTAGGAAAGGCGCAAAGCTACACAGAGAAACCCTGTCTTGAAAAACAAAAACAAACAAAAAAGGTACCTTGACT